TTTTTCTTTTTGTTTTTTTTTCCTTCAGTTCTAGGAAAACATGCAGAGAAACCAAACCACCAGAAAGCTGTTTCCTTCAGATAGAAATAATTATATTTAAAATGGTCACTATGAAAACAAAGTGCTTAATGTCAGTAGAAACTAAGTTAAAATACCTAGGAAGTCCTGTATTACAGCCAGCCTCACTTGAAAATTTCACTTACCATAATCATATTGAGATTTTAGACAGTTGTGTTGAGGAAGAGACAGCAGAAATACTGCAGCTTTTACTGATGATGAGGGAGGTCCGAAGGAAGTGATTACTACAGATGCTGCAGAATCCAGTCTTTCCTTTCTGTTGATGTTTCTAACTGTAAGCAAACAATAAATGTATTGTATCCTGCATGCCAAACTGAAGTCTTAATAAAAGAATTTATTCTTGGTAAACATGGCAGAATTAGGGCTGTATTGAGAGTGTAATCAGGATTAGTGGTATTAAAATGCAGGGAATTTAAATATTTTTCCAATCTCCCTGAGGAACATGTTCTGAAATATTAGAAACTGACCATTAGGGGACTAAGGAAGGACTAAGTGCTGCAAGTTTTAATTAAAAGTAGAGTTGTACTCTCCAGTGGGACAACTAAGACAAAAATGGTTTTAAATTTTTGGGTATACTACCTCAGAGCACTGGTGACAAGCAATTCCCATGGTACTGCTGTCTAAAATTTATTTTCATTTAATGATTCCTATGTGTCAACGTTATTGCTAGCTGTGTTATGCTGAGAGGCTTCATGTGCAGCTGTGAACCAGCTCCCTACATCCATTTAACTAGTGATAATTAGTGGAATTGCTGACAGTGAAAGCTTTTCTTTATTATTCTGAAAATCATCTGCAGTAACAGGGCTTGTTTCACTGACAGGAAACATCAGCCAAGACTGGAAGCATTTGCTTCTGTACATGCCCCATTGCTTTAACTTCTGCTTCCTCTGTGTCCCCTCTGCACGGCTTTCCGTAAGTTACAGTAAGCTCTTCACTTGTTCCCTGGGTAGCCACCAGCATGAGCAGCCCTGTGCAGCTTTTCTTACGACCTTCCTGTTTGCCCCCGACTGGAGGCGGAAAGGAGGTTGGGCTCACTTGCTACGGTAGAAGGGATCATCAGAATGTGCCCCTTCTGCCCAGGGTCTGCGCTTTGTGCCTGGGAGCCCTCCAGAGACTCCTGCGTGGAGGGCCAGATTCCTCCGTGTGCTTAATACGTCATGCGTGGGACCTAAAGTGGCAGCTCTTGTTAGTTGTGGATCTGACCCGTGGATGCTTCAGTTCTGACTTAAAAGATCTGTTTGTCCAGACTCTTTCCTTCTCTCTCATTCTCTTCCTTTCTGAAGCCTGAATTTTCATTGGGCTCTGTAGCATTTCAGAAAAGTTCCAAATAAACTCCATTATATTTTTGGCTTGTGCCTCCAGAGGAAGTTCAGTGGTCACTTTGAAAAGGGTAGTTTGCAGTTTCAGCATCAATACTCAGCTAGGGGTTCTATATTTCATCCCCATATGATATATGATGATGGAAGAAAAAGGGTAAATATAATAATCAAAGGACTGGCACATTTCCCCAAACACTGTTCTTTTTCCACTGTAGGTAAGCAGTTTATGCATTGCCTCTTAAGTCTTTGAGACAGTTACAGATCAGGAAACTTTAATTATAGTTAAGAATTACTCCGTGCAGCTGCTTGTGCTTATTGCATTGTTTCTAGTGAGTTATGTACAATACTACAGTGAAATATTGGTGACTCCTCAGAAAAAAATGCATACTTTTCCATGAGCTGCGGATGCTTTGAGCACCATCTTCCTCTCCGTCATCTGTCAACACAGTGCTCATGCCAAAAAAAAGAGAAAGAAAAGCAGTGTTTCCAGCAAGCCAGAAACCCCAGTAACCCAAGTCCGCTGTTTCATCCTGCCTTTCTGACCACAAAACGTGGCTTTTTTGGAGAACATGACCTCTGACATGGCGAGGAGAAATGCTTCACTGGTGAGCAAATGTCTCTGAGTTGCCGCTCCACAGCGTTTTGGTGTGGACAGGATGGGAGCGTTTTGGAAGGTCTCGGAGATTTTGTGCCCAGAATGAATAGCCTCAGTCTGGCTTTGCGGTGTTGCAGGTGGTGGTGGTTGTTGTAAGGCTGGGGGAGGTGGTGTGGCTGTCCTTCCCAGCTGCGCTCTCCCCAGTAGAAAGGCAGAGGAAGCCCAGGCCTGACATGCGCGTGTGTGCAGCACCTACTTCCACTGGCTGGCATCAACCTAAAAATGTTTTCCTCCCGTTCCCTTTGCCTGCAGTGGCTCCTGCTGACCATCTCCTCTGTCTCCTCACCGTTATCAGCCCTGGCACATGCTGCTCTTTTCCTTTGGTTGGTTCAGATATGACTTCACTCTTTCAGCTTTTCTCTTCCCCAGCTTCCTTGTTGGGTGGAAACAGCTGAGGCTATAAAGATCTCTCTGTGAGCGGAAAAGATACTAATTTAAAGAGCTTGTGATCAGGCTTGCTTATCAGTTATGCCAGAGTTAACTGTTCAAGATACTTGTGTTATATGAGTGTGAGAAGTCTTGTGGTGAGCTAATGAAAACAATGGAGAGCGAGTATTGTTTTATAGCTAGTAAGTTGGTCAGTCTTTGGTAGCACTGAGGCGGTAGCCATGTGAGTTTATAGCGACTTAAGAAAACCTAATTTGGCTGCCACTCCCTTAGCTGAACTGTCTAAAGCAGAACACTTCACTGACGTTTCCCCACTCCCCAAGAAGCTATTCATAATTATTTTGAGAGAAAAGAAAAATATTTTGCTTCTGTTATAAAAAATATCTTAGGCAGGTATGGAAATCAGTAAAGTAAGTGTTTATCTTGATTTTAGTTGGTTTTTTTTAATGGGTTTTGAATCCTGGGGTGCCTCTATATCAAGCTGTGTAAGCAGCAGTGTAGCATCTTACGGTGTGCTGTTGCTATCTGTAGTTGCCCTGTGTTGCCTTCCCCTTGTAATAGCATTCGTGTCTAAAGCTTAAGCCCAGACATGTATCAGTGTCTTCGCCTGGCAGATCCCGACCTTTCCCCTTGGCCTCGGAACCCCAAACCCGCTGTGTGTCTCTGCGTTCCCAAAGCCAGGGTGGCGAGGGGAGCACGGGCCCCCTGGCAGCCGCGCTGGGGTAGCCAAGGTGGGCAGGCTCCCTCCTGCCGGCACGCAGCTGGGGCGGTTTGCTCGGTCAGCACTGAGGACTGGAACCTGGAAAGGTGCTGCCTGTCCTGAACTCCTCTTGAGTCAATGGGAGTTCATGGCACTCGGCTTCTTGAAAAATTAGACTTTCTGGAAGTCGGGGCATGCAGAATGTTTGTGCTTGTACTTCACAAAGCCACAAAGTCCTTCAGAAAAAGGGCATGGAGCATACTATAAATGAAGTATTCAGAGGGGAAAACAAAAATTTCCTGACTTATTCTTGGCACCAAATGTCTAATCATGACATTTGGTCTGACTCTCAACATTGCCAATTTATTTTACCCACAAACCAACAACAGACTGATGATGTGCACACAAAGGTTATTTATTTTGAGTGCAGCCAGGGAATGTGAGTATTCCAAATGCTTCCTTATATCTCCCAATGGGATCTCTTTAAGTTGCGTAATATTTTTCTGTATTAGAGGATTGTCAGATAGACATGGTAGGTCTCTTCTTTACTTAAATACACTGGTTATGTTTTTTCTTTGAAGGAAATGCAGGCAGAGAGTGAGGAGTTTGTGAACAGTGTTAAATTAAAAAGCATAACTTCAAAGGCCTTTCTAACAATTTATTCTAAAACTATCAGCCAACAGATGATGTTCCAAGCAAAATAACTAATTATGTGGGAGGTTAGGCAAGCATTGATTTAGTTTTTGGTTTCTTGGGCTGGTAGATAATTCTTTAATAGCAAGAAAAAGAATACATGACTCAAATCTCTGGACTTGAGTCCAGGTAGACCCTCTTCTGAGGACAAGTTGATATGATACATAACCTGTAACAATTTTCTTGGAAAATGTGAAAACCAATTGGATATTTCCTGTAGACCTTGACTGACTGTAAGACATTCCCCATTAGAAATTGAGAGTAAGGTTAAATGAAGGTAAGGGAGTGCCACAATGAACATATTTTAGTTCTTTCAAGCTTATGTTGATTTAGAATAACACCCTTATATTCTGTAAGAGCAATATTTGGAATATCAGGCGCAGTTGGACAGTGATCATGTTACTAGGAAAAGCCACTGGGGCTTAGTGGGCCAAACACCATTATATCAGCGCAGGACAAGGTAAGACTCCAAACACACACCTTCAGCATTTAGCATGTGGAGATAAAATTCCTTTGTATGCACTGCAGCACCAAACTCTTTCTCGTTTTGGCAAGAGAGTTAGAAAAAGAGGAGCTCTCTGTGGTTACTTGTTTTCTGTTTCTTCAGTTCTGGTGAAACTTGTTTCTGCTTTGCCTGTTTTGTGCGTTTGCTCATGGCAAGTGATTCTGCCAATCCTAAATTGCTCTGGCTAAGCTGCAGTCTTGGCCCTAGCTTGTGCAACAGGAGAAAATTCCCTCAAATAGTGTTGACTTTTGGCTGCAGGTTTCTAAGAATTCTGAAGACCAAAACTTTACCAGAGGTGTACTTGCTGCGACATAAATTCTGCATGAGAAAATCATCTGGACATTTGAATTTTTTTTCTTCATCTGTTATCTAGCACTTACTGAACAAAATTTAAAGAAATCCTCGGGCTTTCGGTGAAGCTGGCTGTTTTAGAAGCAGTAGGCTGGAGTTTTCATAGCAGGCTTTGCAAAGTAGATGTCGTGACAGCACAAGTATGTTATGTTCGTTTGTAATACTTACCTTAGGTGCCACTACTAACTTTTTGTACCTGGCTGTCCAGTCCCCATATGCTGTGTTTTTATGTTCATATTGGATATGCAGTTTGTGGGTTTAATTTGTTAGGCAGAACCTGCTTTAACCAAGACCTCTGTTTGTCTTTTTTAGGAATAATATGCTTGGAAGTACTTGGTGGTGTTGATCACCTGTACCCCAGCTCCAGCTGAATCCTTTTCAAACACTTCTCTCAGAACATGGGGGAAAACGATGTTGAAAAATACAGTCAAGCTGGTCAGATATTTGAAAACTTTGTACAAGCATCAACATGCAAAGGTACTATTCAGGCCTTTAATATTCTCACTCGTCAACTTGAATTGGATCCTTTGGACAATAGAAACTTTTACACCAAACTGAAGTCAAGAGTGACCACGTGGAAGGCCAAAGCTTTGTGGAATAAGCTTGATAAAAGAGCAAGTCACAAAGAGTATAAACGTGGAAAATCTTGTATGAACACTAAGGTAAGTGGAGTTCAGTTTTGGATTTCACTGCTTAATCTTTTAAACTTGTTTTTCTGTAGAAGCAAGTTCTCTACCATCGCATGCAATGTGTCCATTCAGGTAACCCTCCCTTTAATATACTTTTTGAAAGTATGGTTGATATCAACTGATTTTGACAAATTTTCAGGTATTTTTGTTCAGCAAGCTTTGTGGAACCACACAGCATGGAAGAGTGATCCTAAAAGCACCCTGCTTTGCCTCAATTGTGGCAAAAAAGTTTTCTGCCCTCTTGAGACATCAGCATCAATCAGGCATAAGATGTAAACTCCTGAGGCAGTAGGCTTCATTCATTCTAGGGTCACAGGAACTACTTGCTTTATTGAACAGGACTGTGCAAGGCGCAAATCGTGGCGTATTCAGCAGGCTCCGCAGTTTGCTGCTTGGTGCGTGCTCTAAGAGACCAGGGCTGGCCAAATGTGTTTCAGCAGGAGTTCTTAAACTCTTCTCTGGAAAGTGCTGCTTGGAGGTCTGGGGAGCTGTCTTTGTCACCTAGCGTTGCCTCTAGTTGCTAAACAAAAGCAGAAGGAAGTGCTGCGCTGTTTGTGGATTTAAGTACTGTCTGTAACTGCTTTTTTGCAAGCAGACTGTAGATAATTGCTGTGTGGTAGTTACTGAAGGATGTGGTCGTCTTGGCTGTGTAAAGGACAGGAAACGATCTGCTCTTCAGCAGAGCATGCAATACCATGTTTTGATAGAGAGAACCACTGAACATTCGTATAAATGGTGTTGACAAAACTGCACATTCTAGTTCATGCCACTTGTTTCATTTAGCTATCACAGAATATTCTTAATAGCTTTGTCTCAGAGCAATTCAGTTATTTAAGGCCAAATGACAGCTAAATGTTGCCCCAAAGAAGGGTGGGTTTTAAGAGGCTACTTGACTGTATAGAGGTAGAACAGAGAGGAAGGGCACACTGCAGGGTAACTAGACACCAAACTGGAGGGCTTTTTAATTAAAACGATTGCTGAAGTGTTATTTTATGGACTCAGTAGACAGGCGGTGTTGCAAGTCTCTTTTTCTTCTTGTTTGTATCGTTGCATTGAAAGGTCTCAAAAGGACTGGGCAGGAGGACACCATGGTATCTTGTGTTGGGTTTGTGCTACTAAAAGCTCGCCACACCTGTTGTGACCCCATGGGGGACCCACACTGGAGCAGTTTGTGAAGAACTGCAGCCTGTGGGAAGGACTCGCATCGGAGAAGTTCATGGAGGACTGTCTCTTGTGGGAGGGACCCCATGTTGGAGCAGGGGAAGAGTGTGAGGAAGGAACAGCAGAAACAGTGGGTGGTGAACTGACCACAGCTCCCATTCCCCGTCTCCCTGGGACCACTGAGGGGAGGAAGTAGAGAAAACTGGCAGTGAAGTTGAGCTCAGGAAGAAGGGAGGGGTGGGGAGAAGGTGTTTTAAGATTTTATTTCTCATGATCCTACTCTGATTTGGTAATAAATGAAACTAGTTTCTCGAGGTCGAGTCTGTTTTGCTTATGATGGTAGCTGGTGGGTGATCTCTCTCTGTCTTTATCTTGACCCATGAGTCTTTTGTTGTCTTTTCTCTCCTCTGTCCAGCTAAGAGGAGTGATAGAGCGGCTTTGGGCACCTGGTGTCCAGCTGGGGTACCCACCACATACCTTCAGTACATATAGAGGCTTCTGGTTTTATTCATTTTTAACAAGCTCCCAGTGATTATTAACTTTTTCTAAGGTAATAAATGTCCATACTACAGTTTTCTTTAGAAAATGAAGAGTGCCTTTGCAGCTATTTGCACTGCTTTCCTGACAGCCTCTGTTTTTCTCCCTTCCTTTTTCCCTTCATTTCCCTTTTTGACCTGTGCTTCCTTCCTCCTCTTTGTTCTTTTGAAAAGGCCTTGGACACATGTCATTGAGCATCTTTGTAATGAAAACGGGCAGGAAAGGAAAGGAATGAGACAGTGTCTGACTAACAAATTATAGGAGATACTCCACATGCACCTCACATAGAGCCCTAGGTCCAAGTTTCCATGCCTAGTTTGAGGAGGTATCTGTAACACAAAAAAGCAGTTTTAAGACCCATGGGAAATGTAAAAATGAAGTCCTTTTCCCTCAAGTGTAACATTATAAAGCCAAGGCCGGGTTCTGCAAAGTTCTTAAGTAATGAATTTTTATATATGGTGAGAAGACTTGTGGAAATCGGTTGGTACACAAAATACAGCCTGTGTAATGCTTTATAAGGTTGCCAAGCAGGAGACTAATTGATGTCTTCCACAGTCTTGAAAGTATGGCATTACTGCTCTTGGAGAGTAAAGGTTTATTTTTAGTGGTATGGTGTAAGTATTTGCAGAAAGTTCTGGATGTATCTGATGCACATATAACCAACTTGCAAATGAATATACCATGTCTGTATGTGAACACTGTGCATGTAGATACTCTGTGAAATACTTGTAGATGTTCATTATGAGCCTGGACCAAGCACAGACCTGCACTGCGCTGTGTCATCACTGATTTAAGGAGTGAAACACGAATCCTCAGATCGCTGGGAATGAAAGCAGGAGCCGCAGTCTGTGGGCTCTGTGGGGATATCTCCCAAACATTCCTCACACGTGAGTCACCGGCTGCTCTGACAGCTATCTGACATGAATGAGAGGAGATATGTGGAGAGAAGACTGGACTCCCTGATCATTGTGGGGCTGTACTCTGGCTGCCCCACTTACAGATAAGGAATTCCCAGAAATGCTGGCAGTCCAACCAAGATGTCAGTGCAGAGAGATTAGCCTACAATATACATACCATGATTTTCCTTCAGTGCAGCTTGTGATTTTAAGTTTCTGTCTTTCTTGCATGTTATGCCAGATACCATTTTTAGTAGTGAAGCAGGCAAACAGGAGTTAGCAAGCTAAATCCTGAGAGCACTCGCTTCTGTGGAGTTGCCTGGGGACTTGGTTGAAGTAGATCAGCCCTGAGTACAAATCTTACTTGTTAAAGCAGGATCAAAAAATGAGCTAAGTGGATTTTAGCAATTGCAGTTCTGTAAACAAAGTCAAGGTTGCTAGTAGGCATCATTTAAAAAAAAAAATGACTTGAAGGCTTTGTATGAGGTTGTGGCCGTGAGCTCTGTGGCTGAGTCTGCAGTTTAGTTCTCAGATATGGCTTTGCAATCTGTCTGGCTCCTTGCTATCTTCCCTGTCTTTGGAGGAGATAGAACCTGCTGCCTTACCCAAAACTGTTCTCTTTTTTTTTTTTTTTTTTCACACTGTTTAAGAGGTGAATGCTGTACTTGTTGATTTTTGTGCTTATAAACCGTTCAGCCACACTTAAGTTACTCATTACAATACACACAAGTTTTATACGTAGAGAATGTTCCACTCCAACTAAATAACAATAGTCCTGTGTCTTAACTGCTCTTGAAGAACATTGCCAAACATGGCTTTCAAAGTTTCTACAATGATATGATTTTAAACTGGATGAATAAAAGCAGTTGAACAATTTTCAAGCAGTTCAAAGCCACTTCTGTTTGAGTTGCCTTGTTGTGGACTATATTTCCCTGCTAATTCTTTGTAGAAGAAAAAACTAAGTGCTGCAGAGGCACATGCAAAAATTGGGGCAGAAACAAAACATTTTTTGAAACTGTAGAAGTCTGTATGTATGTTAAATCAGTATCAAACATACAGTTCCATCACAGACTTGTAAAATGGGAAGGAATACTGTTCAGAGCTGGAGCCAGCTGGAGCTGGCATTTGCACACTTCACCAGCACTACAGAGAAACAGAAGTCTGTCCCAAGTAGCCAAAACTCTAGAAATCATACTGTGATTTTTTTTTTTTTGCAAATATGTCTAGAAAAAGAGCACAGCTTTATTATCCTGGCAAAGTTTCTCTTTTTCATCCTTTACTACTGAATGCAGAGTAGCATGCTTGGAGTCTGTAATGATTATATGTTTCTTCATGAAATTAAGTGTAGCTAGACACTTGCAGAAAATTAAAGGCTTAACATATGTTGTTCACCATGCTACGGTTTGAATGTCTCTCCAAATTTTTGAACATGCAAAACATAATAATATGATGAACAAGAATTCATCCAGCTAGTTGCAGAGTGTATTCAATAACCTTTTAAAGCTGCATGTGAGTGTTCTCCAAGCATTGATTTGAACCTTTCTGTATGGAGTAGACTCTGCCTTGATTTACTGGCAGTTTACCTGTGTGGTAGAGATGTATGTGCACATATGAATGAGGCTCCCACTGGTGTTTGAGGCATGCATGTTTATGTATCAGGGGGCAGGACCTGGCTCATGCTGTGCACCTGAAATTCTGGCTCTCCCATGACTGTAGATTCATGCTTGAGGAGAGCAGAGATTACTGCCCATGAAAGCATGCCAGATTTACTGTGAAGGGAGGTGTTGATTCTCTGAAGCATGCAAATGTGGTGTTGTCTTCCCCCTCAAACATGCATGCTATTTTTTCAAAACACATGCTTACACTTGAGGAGAACTAAGGGAACTTTGTTGAAAGTGCAAATGTGTAAGTACCAGCTGCCTTGGTAGACCCATTTCTGTCTGTATATACCCAGTTTCAGATGATGGTGTGGTGCGTTCGAGGGGAGGGCAGTGGCAAATTCCTTGTGCTTGTGTGTAGCTTTGGTCTTCTGAGCATTGTCTCTTTTGTAGGCCCCACCTTGGGCACGGTTCCTGGGCAGGGGACTTTTTTTTTCCTGCTCACAGTCTGAGCGGTGGTTTTGAGGCCTATCTGGACAACGTTGGCATAAAGAAAATCAGTAAAATTGAGCTAAAAAGTTTTGAGTGCTGCATATATAAATACATACGTATGTGCATTTGTAGGGGGGGGTGTGTGTGTATAATACAGGTTCCTGAAAAACAAATGATCTTGAACTCTATCCTTGTTGGCCTCCTTTGTCTTCCTCATTCCTGGACTTGGCCTTTTGAAGCTTGTTTTCTAACAGATTAGGTTCCCTTCCAAAAATTCCTGTTGGGAAAC